TGTGATTTTTCTCATTCTATTTTTCGCTTCGTCGATCGTTCTCCAGTTTGATTTATATATCATATCCCAACAACAAAAACCAAAGTTAAGACGAGTTTTTACAAACAAGTTCGCTACTAGCTGTTGAAATGAGTGTTAATGCATAGCATTGGCAAAAAGTCCATACATGCTAGAAATACTAATGCCACAACATTAAAATTGATGCATACCATTAAGTATTAAGGTCAATTTATTTTATCAGCGCTAATCTTGTTTTCCTTCATTATTAACAAGATTGTTGCACTCCAATGCCACCAAATTTAAAGCATACCACGAATAACATTCATATAAATTACAGGCTACATTAATGCATATTAATGTCAATAAAGTTAATGCACACAAACAACACTAACGTCAATGTCTATCATAACTAATAAGACTAATGCATGATGTCAAAACTGATGTCCATGCCTACCTTAGCAAACAGTTTTAACTCCTAGTATTACTAACAAGAACAATACTTGACATAACACCAACATTAATGCATGCCATCACTAGCAATAGTAATGATGTCATCAACTCTGCCACTAACCCCCATTTGCTTAAATAAGATTGATCCTTATCATCATTAACAATATCGGTTTGCTTTACATAACTAGAAGAGATACATATTGGCACTAACACAAATGCCTGTCGAATATAGCATTTACCCTGCTAATAATATTAAGGATTGATGCGTGCTAGAAAATTTGCAACGGTAAAGTAATAGATTATCATCTTAGCATTGCCCGAGAATTCAACACACATTATGGTAAAAAAAAAACAACAACTAGTAATGATACCATAAGCTTTTATGTGGAAAACCGTAAAGGGAAAAAGCCATGTGGTCTGGTCTATATGTAAAAATTCACTATAGATTGATGATTACAAAGACCTCTTTGTCCCACAGACGGGAAAGGGTTACTAAGTTCTCTAAGTTACAACGTCGATTGACAACATTCGATTGGCGAGGGTTGACGGAGGACGACGGGTGTCAACGGCGGTTAAAGAGGGACGATCGGTGGTGGTCGACGATGATCGACAGTGGTCAACGACGATCGGCGGCGGTCGACGGTGACATAGGTGGTGTTGGACTGCAGCTCGTTCTCAAATATTTATGTTCTCTCTTAAGCCTCTAGTCTCCTCTCATGGGAGGGGTGAGACTCTATTTATAATATTTTGGGTGCAAAAAATGCAGGAATACGAACCACTTTGATCAGACGGTCCAGAGGGCTTTCTTCGATCAGACGACGTTTGATGGACATTTGAGTGTGAACAATGTTGGAATCGAGCAATCTTGGGTTTGTTTGATTCATCTTGTCGAGGCATCGTAGGCTTGTTAGATTCGACATTAGTTTAACCTTCTAAATATGCTTGGAAAACTTCCAAGAATGATTTAATGACTTGATCTGAGTTTTTGACTCGGATTGAACTAATTTTAGTAACATTGGGTTCTTTTTGTCGAGCCGTCAGTTTGATTGTAAGTTTGCTGAAATCGGAGTTCTGTATGACTTTTTATCGAGGTTTGAATATTTCTTGTTCAAAAAATCATCTCGAGATCTATGTCATGTCTCGAGATTCATATCAGATGATGGAGATTTGTTGCAGATGTATCAAGGAGAAATAACACTAATAAGTTGGAAGATCATTATTAAAATCAATATCAATACATGTCATTTTTAATATACTTTTCTTCTGCATCATTGTGAATATCAACATGGTTATAAAGTCCATGCTTTTATTATTGGTCATTAGCCTCCCCTATTATAAGAAGAATGGTTGAGCAGACCACTAATATTTTCTTAAAGATAACTCCAATCTATCAGGGGTCTTCCTACGTCCATAATAGAGGCCATATGTATAATTTTAGTAATATATTGTTCCAATGTTTTGTCCAATTGCAAGGAAATATCTCATTTACAAACCATGAGACTTGCTGGTAGGGCTGTAAACGAGTCGAGCTTGAGCGAGCTCAGGCTTGGCTCATGTTCGGCTCGTTCGAAATAGCTTGTGTTCGAAATCGGCTCGTGAACAGTGTGTTCGTGTTCGGCTTGATTTAAATATTCGTGTTCGTGTTCGGCTCAAAATTGGCTCAGAAAAATTAAATTGAAAAAAATAGATGTATAGTGTCGGACCTGGACCAAATATATACAAAAGAAGATACTAAACACATTACCACACAAGATGTTATGATTTAAACTTAGATATAAATATATATAATATATTATTATATAAATAATATATGTAATATATTATTATATAAAATTTCTATAGAAAACTATAAAATTTCCTCTCATAAAGTTTCTCAAATTTTTCAAAGATCATTCTAGATTACGGACTCAATTATAACTCAATTTTATATGTGCCAAAATCAAATTTAATTTTCAACAGTTCACTAGATCATCAAGCTAGAAGTCCTCCCATGGAGACTCATTTGGCAGTCAAATTTATACCCCTAACCAAATTACCAGACGAGATGCTATGATTTAGACTTAGATATAAATATATATATAATATTATTATATAAATAATATATGTAATATATTATTATATAAATAATTATATATATATATATATATATATATATTTATATATTATTTTGAGCTAAAACGAGCCGAACATGAGCGAACAAAGAGCTGTTTAGTTCGGCTCGTTTATTATTCGAGCTTTAAAAACTTCTTCGTGTTCGACTCGGGTATTTAAAAAAAGGAGCCGAACACGAGCTATTCACGAACAACGAGATTTTTTGACAGCCCTACTTGATGGCATAATTATTCTTGTACAATGATTTTTTTTTTCTTCTTATAATTTTCATGTAAAAATCCCTCATATATCTTATATATTATTTATAAATTTAATCATAAATTTAACTTAAACAGCCAACAAAAACAAAAAAATAAATAAATCCACGGCTCTCATATTCTGTCACTTTTGAGACGTAAATCTCAATTGCAAACCCGATTTATTCCATCGTCGCTCGCGATTTTTTCCCATCACTTATTCGATTTGATAAATACCAATTTATCGGATTTGATAAATCCTATTTAACGGAAATCTGACGCTTAGGTCGACACGATACGATGTTCAATTCTAACAAAATGTTCAAAATTTAAAGTTGTTTAAAGTTTTATTAAGCTAAAGTTAAGGCATAGTGGCCTTCTATTTCAAATCAAATGGTTTATTATTTTAATTATTTATATATAATTTTAAATATTTTCATTTATTATTCTAATATAAATTATATAGGAAATTTACACACAATTTTCCAAAAATCAAAATTGTAAAACCAAAGCAAATAATTGGAAAGGAATGAATATATGCTTTGGCTAACCACACATTAAAAGCTCCCATAATTCATTCTAAGCACTACATTTTTGCGATTTAGTCCTCATAATTTTAATTATTTACACTTTCCATAAAACCCCTTTTACTTTCGCTTCTCAAAGGGGTATCTAAGAATCCCAATTATCAAATATTTAATTTTTTTTTTAAGTATTGGGAAAAACATATGAATTGCCAAAGTTTATTATTTATATAGAAAAATTAACTTATGGAATTCAAGAATTATTTCATAGATTATTATGACCACAAGGCAATGTTATTAAATAAACATAAATATATTTTCATAATAAAATTATACGGGATCATTTCAGTATCAGACTTTATAGAAGTGTCAAAATAATTCTCAATTATTTTAAAATTGAGCTCAAATAGTTCTCCATATGAATTATTTCAACCCCAATTTCAAATTTCTTTTAAAAATTATATATTTTTTTGATTTAGAGGAGGAAAAGTGAGGTCTGAACAATAACGATTTATCATTCTTACGTAGAGAGATATTTTTCTCGGATATTTAATGAAATAGATATATGGACATATAATCGAAGAGAACACTCTTCAAACGTGCCAACTTGGCGCATAATCCGATAACAAGATTACGATTCGCAGGGAGGAGCGTTACCGAAGGCGCATAATCCCATAACGAAATTATGGTTCGCAGGGAACATTACTGAAGACGCATAATCCCATAACGAAATTATGGTTCGCTTGGAGCATTACCGAATTTAGAAGTTTCCCGATCCGCTCCGCTCCGCTTTGATCCAGCGTCTGTCCCGATATGGTATATGAGTCATACCATAACAAAGTTTCACCGGGGTATAAATGTAATTAGATAATAATTTTAATTCATTTTGATTTAACTTTTCACTATCACGGATACTCGGACACGATAGCGAAACTGCGATTCTCAGTGAGTATCGCCCATAACGAAATTGTGGTTCGCATGGAGTATTACCCATAACGAAATTGCGATTCGCAATGAGCATTACCGAAGACACATAATCCCTTGACGAAATTACGATTCGCAGGGAGCATTACCGAATTCAGAAGTTTCGGCAGGATATAAATGTAATTAGATAATAACTTTAATTCATTTTCATTTAACTTTTCACTTTGACGAACGTTCCGGCACTATAGCAAAATGACGGTTCGCAGAGAGCATTACCCATAACGAAATTACGGTTCACAAAGAGCATTACCGAAGGCACATAATCTCATAATGAAATTACGGTTCGCATGGAGGTATAAATGCAATATGATAATAATTTTAATTCATTTTCATTTAACTTTTCACTGTGACGAACGCTCTGGCACGATAGCGAAAGTACGGTTCATAGGCAGTATTACTCATAACGAAATTACGGTTCGCACGGAGCATTATCGAGGAAGCATAATCCCATAATCACGATAGCGAAAGTACGGTTCATAGGCAGTATTACTCATAACGAAATTGTTCGCAAGGAGCATTACCGAGGAAGCATAATCCCATAACGAAATTAAAGTTCATAGGGAGCATTACCCAATTTAGAATTTTCACCCGGTTTATTTAACTTTTCCCTGTCACTCCGGCAAGATAGCTTTGACCCGAAATTGACACGATAACTTTGTAACCAGAAGTGTTTTATATATAGTGAGGAGAGGAGCTCCAAGCCCTGCGAACCCCTTCCTTTCTCCTTCTTCTTCTTCGGTGATTTTATCGTGGGTGGAGTGTTCGGCCGGCAGCGTTGTGGCGGTCGATAGAGGAGTTGTGGGATCTGAGAATGGGAGGAGCTATTGTGTCTGATCTCCTCACGGAGATTTTGATCCCGGTGGCGGCTGTAATCGGGATCGCCTTTGCCCTAATTCAGTGGCTGCTCGTCTCTAAGGTTCAGCTCACACCGGACCGGAAAACAACGTCAGGGGAGGACAATAAGAACGGGACGGGCGATTATCTTATCGAAGAGGAAGAGGGCACGAACGAGGATAACGTTTTTGTCAAGTGTGCCGAAATCCAGAAGGCTATCTCTGAAGGTTGTGAATCCGTTTTACTTCTTGATGTTTTTATGTTGAATTTTTTAGTTCCTTCTTCGTTTGTTGAATTCTTTTAGTTTTAATGCAGTTATGCTCTGTTTTGTGGGAATGATTTGTGGTTTGAGATCTTGTTGTGTGAGTGAGGGATTTGGATCCTTTTTTTTTTTTTCTCTCTCGGTGAAATCAATATCTCCATATCTCCATTTGCTCTTGTACGAAAAGCAATTCAGTGGCTGTACAGATCTTTTTTTGCTTTTCTTGATTTTTCTTATTTTCTTCTTATGTTTGATTTTTTGGTTATTATTCATTAAGAATATTACAGAGGCTTTTCTCATCTGTTTCTTGCTTAACGGCGTTGCACTGCCTTGTTTAATCTTCTGTAATAGCTAACACTGAACATGGGGAGCGCACTTAACTGCCTCACCGTATGCACTCTAGCTCTTTGTGGGTTGCGTTTTAAATTGTTTCTGGTCCACATAATATTTTCTTTTTGTAATTACTTGTAGAAACATTCCCGCTTTTCTGTGCGCATAGAGGGAAAGAAGGATTAAAGGGTTACGAAAGTAATATTCCTGATTGTTTTATAACAGATTTTGGTTTCCTAATATATGATGGACCCCTTTGGCTTTTTTGGGGTTTTTCTCCAAATCTGAAGTTCTGAAATTTTAATTTTGTGTTGAAATTTTCTTAGGCTTTATGCACTATCGATAAATTGAGATGCCATCTTTATTGCACCTGCGTAGCTAAAAATTGCTTCGAAGTTCATGCGATCCCAAGTTGTCTGAGATTGCAATTATCCATAACGCTCATAACAAGTTGTCTAAAATTTGCTTATACATTTTTCAACATGAAGTTGTTAAGCTTGTAATGATGCGGATTGAAATGCTCCCATATAATAGTAGTTACTACATTTTAATTTTTCTTTAAGGTCATAACGCAAATTGGCAGCACTTGATGAATATATACTCTAGTAATTTCATTTCAATAGCTTGCCATTATCTTCAAAGCAACGAGTTGATGATTATCTACTCTAGAGAAACTTCATTTCGATCGCTTTTTATCGTCTTGGAAACAGTGAGTTGTTTCCCTGGAAAAACTTATTCATACAGAGCATCTTCTTTTCTATTTATTCTCTCAGTTCATGTTAAGATGTTTAAATCGCTTTTTATCGCCTTGGAAACAGTGAGTTGTTTCCCAGGAAAAACTTATTCATACAGAGCATCTTCTATTCTATTTATTCTCTCAGTTCATGTTAAGATGTTTATATTTCCCATATAATGTTGTTTTGATACTTTATGGTTGCATTTGCTGTGTTTTCAGGAGCTACATCTTTCCTGTTTACTGAATACAAGTATGTGGGGATCTTTATGATTGCATTTGCTGTTTTGATCTTTCTCTTCCTTGGCTCTGTCGAAGGATTCAGCACAAAGGAGCAACCTTGCACGTACATCAAGGATAAAACTTGCAAACCGGCGCTTTCTAATGCTATTTTCAGCACAATAGCTTTCTTGCTGGGTGCAGTTACGTCAGTGGCTTCTGGCTTTCTTGGGATGAAAATTGCAACTTTTGCAAATGCACGGACAACTTTAGAAGCAAGGAAGGGTGTTGGGAAAGCTTTTATCACTGCATTCAGATCTGGTTCTGTGATGGGCTTCTTACTGGCTGCAAATGGACTTTTTGTATTATATCTTTCGATTAATCTGTTCAAATTGTACTATGGTGATGACTGGGAAGGGCTTTTTGAGGCAATTACTGGATATGGACTTGGTGGGTCTTCAATGGCTCTCTTTGGTAGAGTAGGAGGTGGTATTTATACAAAAGCTGCTGATGTTGGTGCTGATCTTGTTGGTAAAGTTGAGAGGAACATTCCAGAAGATGATCCTAGGAACCCAGCTGTGAGTTTCATTTGCACTAATGTCTACATGATTTAACATCATTTGCCCTTTCCTTTGAAATGCAGATTTGTTACAACTATATGTGTTATGCAGGTGATTGCTGATAATGTTGGAGATAACGTTGGTGATATTGCTGGAATGGGTTCAGATCTTTTTGGTTCATATGCTGAGTCTTCCTGTGCTGCACTTGTTGTTGCTTCTATTTCTTCCTTCGGAACTAGTCACGATTTAACTGGGATGTTCTACCCTCTGCTGATTAGTTCCATGGGTATTATCATCTGTTTGATCACAACTCTTTTTGCAACGGACTTTTTTGAGATCAGAGCTGTTCAAGAAATTGAACCTGCGCTTAAGAGGCAGCTAATAATTTCCACTGCTCTGATGACTGTTGGGATTGCAATTGTTAGCTGGTTGGCTCTTCCATCTTCGTTCACTATCTTTAATTTTGGTGTCCAGAAGGAAGTGAAGAACTGGTAATACTATTATTGCTAATAATTCTGTTTCTAGATATTTGGATTTGATGAACATATTCATCTAAACTCTTTTGAACTTGCAGGGAGTTGTTCTTTTGTGTTGCAATTGGACTATGGGCTGGTCTTGTGATTGGATTTGTTACCGAATACTACACTAGCAATGCATACAGGTAACAAATTTTTGTGTTAATGGTTGCTGTTCAATATCAACTTTGTAAGATTGGTGTTGAGATGCCATTTCAATTTGCTAACTATTCTTTTTGTTCCAGTCCTGTCCAAGATGTTGCTGATTCATGCAGAACTGGGGCTGCCACAAATGTTATCTTTGGACTTGCTTTGGGATACAAATCAGTCATAATTCCAATTTTTGCTATTGCCATCAGCATCTTTGTAAGCTTCAGCCTTGCTGCAATGTATGGTATTGCAGTTGCTGCTCTTGGCATGCTGAGCACCATCGCCACAGGCTTGGCTATTGATGCCTATGGCCCCATCAGTGACAATGCTGGAGGCATTGCTGAGATGGCTGGTATGAGCCACCGAATTCGTGAAAGAACTGATGCTCTTGATGCTGCAGGCAACACCACTGCTGCCATCGGAAAGGTACATTGAGAGCTGCTAGCCCTTTGTTTTTTCATTTAGTTCATTCATCAAGTGTAAATGTTCTTTAGGGTTTTGTTAATTTTGTTTGTATGCTATCAAATCGTCCCATTGTTGGCGTTTCATCTACTGTTTGCTTTCTGATCATATAGGATTGTCTATTTGCTCATGTATTTGAGATTCAATTTTATTGCCATGCTTATGCTTACAGATGTATAGAAACTTTAAATAATCAGATTTGTCTTGATTGCTCGTCTTTTGAATTAGGTTGCCTTAAAACCATTAATATTGGCAATTTGTTTTTTACTTAAATTATGTCCACATGCTATATATACACATCTAAAAATTGTTGACGGGAGAGAGTCTCAAATATATAGTTCTTTGTACATTTTATTTGCTTCTATGCTCCAAACTCCTAGCCCTGAATATTCTTATAACTTGTGTTATCTTTTCCATTTCCAGGGATTTGCCATTGGTTCTGCAGCTTTGGTGTCCCTTGCTCTTTTTGGCGCCTTTGTCAGTAGAGCAGCCATTTCTACCGTTGATGTTCTCACTCCTAAAGTTTTTATTGGGTTGATTGTTGGTGCTATGCTTCCTTATTGGTTTTCAGCCATGACCATGAAGAGTGTCGGCAGTGCCGCTCTTAAGATGGTCGAGGAAGTCCGAAGGCAGTTTAATAGCATTCCTGGTTTGATGGAAGGTACTGCCAAACCTGACTATGCAACCTGTGTCAAGATTTCAACAGATGCCTCTATTAAGGAGATGATTCCTCCTGGTGCTCTGGTCATGCTCACACCCCTCATTGTTGGTACCTTCTTCGGCGTGGAAACACTGGCCGGAGTTCTTGCTGGTTCCCTCGTCTCTGGTGTCCAGGTAAAACCTTAAACTGGTTAACCTTTGTCACGTTCTAAAGAGATCATGGTTTTGATGAATCTTCTTCTGTTTCACTCTGCAGATTGCCATCTCTGCTTCAAACACAGGTGGTGCTTGGGACAATGCCAAGAAATATATCGAGGTACTCGAGCCTCGACTCTTTATTAGCACTTGGGTTTTTCGCATTCTTTCCATGAAATAAAACAATGTGTTGATTCTCATCCGCAGGCCGGGGCTTCAGAGCATGCCAGAACTCTCGGCCCCAAGGGGTCCGATCCTCATAAAGCCGCCGTAATTGGTGACACCATTGGAGACCCTCTCAAGGATACATCAGGGCCATCTCTCAATATCCTCATCAAGCTAATGGCAGTGGAATCTCTCGTCTTTGCACCTTTCTTCGCCACTCATGGTGGTCTCCTCTTCAAGCTTTTCTAAGCGTCCGCATTTCTGCGCCACCATTGTCTTCCCTGTCTGTCCGGTTCATGCAAAATTTTCCCACAAGTAGGCAGTAGATGATGATGACACAATCTGCGTCTATTTTGTGTCAATCATGGCCACATTCTTGATAGAGTTGTAGTCCTTTTTATATAGAAGTTTCTTTGGATTCTGAAAAGTTGGGATTTTGTCGGTCAATTGGTCGGTTTTGTGTTTGTCCATTCAAGCTGGTCTTCATCTCTGTGTTCGTATACAATTTTGTTCAAATTCTCATCTGCTGCTCCGCTCTACCTTGATTTTCTTAATGTCATGTTATGTTACAGGTGGGCGATTATTTTCTTAGAGATGAAGGGCAATTCTGGGTTACGTGTCCTTTGGTAAATGGGTGATTAGCACCTTGTCCTCAATTATTTGTGTATTTTTATGTGTTAGTTGTGTGGTAATTCTACATTGACTTTATTTGTCTTGACTATAGAGTAGCAACTTATTGAAATTAATCACAATTATCAACTACTTTTCATTAAAATAATCTAAACTATCAAGTTCGACGTCATATTACATTATCATAATGGCGGTAGTTATCGTAGTTAAATGTTCTAATTTCTATGTCTCTAAAAATTAAACGTAAGTTTTAGAGACATAGGCCTATAAATCAATTCATTAATATCATGCCAATCATTGTAGTCTAACATTTAAGATAACATCCATAAATCTTTATTTTTATGATAGCAATGTAGAGCATCATAGAGTAATTAGGAAGCCATCTAGAAAAGAAAACATTGGATTTGGACCTTATGCATGTGCTTTTTGCAATGAATGCAACATATAGAAAACTATGCAACTTTGTCATTGCACATCAACATCATGTATATTCTCAAAATAGCAAAGGAAGCCCCACATGGCATTGGGCATTGAAGAATGCATAGAGCACATGATTTATTCACTAGAACTTGATGAAACTACATTATATAAGAGCAAATGAAAGTAAATATGAGAAAATATTGAAATTTTAACCACAAAATTTATTACTTAATCATCAAATTCTTCTTTCAATGAAAAATATTTAATGGTCAAAATTTGTCAATCATAAGTTCTTCGAGTAGGATAATCTCTTAGGGATGGTCAAATATAATAAAGTACTTAAAATTGCTTTTAAAATTTAGTAAAATATGGATTGATGTAATCCTCATTGACACTAAAACTTTGTCAAATATCTGGTTAATTTAAATAATAAAATAGCTTGTATTTGACATCCAATATCTTGGCTTAAAAATAGTAATGTTTCGGGTCATTATACTTTCTTCATGCTTATGATGATGCTTTGAAGCATATTGAGCTTCATGTTATCTTCATGATCATTTACATATGCATGTAAAGTCCTATTTTTCCTTATTATATTTATTTATTTTTATTATTATCGTATGGCAATGCTTAATGTTCTATTGGAGAGCTCGGAGAAAGAGTTATCTCACCACAAAGAGAAAGATCTATATGTAGTTTTCATGTGCGAGAGGTGATCCAAAGGTAAATGTGTATGTGTAAAGGCTCATTGTGTATGTGTAAATACTCATTGCCAGTGAAGGAATAACAATATATTTTATTGCAAGTATTGCATAAAATAATATATGTGGTGAACACATAAGTTAGTCTAGCCACATAAATATGTATGATTTTTTTCTCTTATATATTGTGTTGGCATCAGTTTTAACACGTTATGATGCCATAACCCTATTAGAGCCCTCATGAGCTAACTTTTGATAGGATTTGGTTTGTTGCCGAGTCTCGGAGCCGTAGCGCCAAAGCTATCGCGACGTCATCATACACAAGAAAACAATTGGTCAGTTTTGCAGCTGGTTGATCTTATCTTCACTAAGAGTAATTATTAGATGTGGAGTAAGCACACGAGAATTTTATTATAATTTGATTGTATTGATTGGAACAAAATTCATATGTGAGAATTCAACACCTACCAAATAATTTATCAGGCCAGCATCCTGGTGATGTATCCAGGAGCTGCGGTACCATCCCATCTATAAATAGGTCGGTTGTTTGAAAATAAATAGAAACTTCATTTTCTTTCGCTTCATTTCTTTATGTTCCTTTCCAAGCTTCCAAATATCAGCTCCTTAGTGAACAAAAATGTCGCCTCGTCAACAAGAAAGAAGTATCAGACCAGTTTGCTGCAGCCCATCCTATTTTATCTCATCGCTCTTGCTCCATTACCCAACAGATCCGTGAGTTATGCGAAGATGTCGCCGCAGTCGATCGGAAAGTGGATTTCCTTTGGAATCAATTAAATCATGTTGTAAGACAGCAAAACCAACAGTCGAATGGCATGCCCAAACTCTCGAAGGGTGGAGAGGAGCATGAAAATATATAAAAGGTCTGGCCTTGCGGTGATGGAAACCGGATACTTGGTGCCAGTCTCTTAGTGCCGCAGCACCTACCCCTGCTTCGAGGTGCCATCATCGATAATTGTTGGCAAATATGGCATGTGCCACATGCAACATCAACACACCATGAAGCCCATTTGGGCCTTGGCATCGCATACAAGTGCTTAGGTGCCACTCAATGCTCTGATGTCAACATCCACCTTCTAAGGGCGATGCTTGATGAGATGCGTGCCATGATGGTGGCAACCTTGCAAGGAAATTACCAGTGCTTTGACACAAGCACTAAGTCCCCAACACACCTATTCTTGGGTCACTACCTCTACGACATACCCACTTTTGAGTACTGGACCCGTGCACACTTCACCCTCCAAGTCACTGCACTTTGTGCACTTTGAACCCTTCCAGGTCATTGCCTCCACGACATGCCAACTCCCGAACCACTGCCTCTACGACACACTCTTCGCCACTTCTATCATATGACTGTTTGTATTTGCATCTGTATTTGTACATGGATAGCTAGTCAGACTCAATAAGCGAGTGATCTTGTGTTGGTTGATACACCTATAAATATATATTGTTTTTAGACACATTTTTATACCTATTTTTAAGATATTACGTTTTAATGCAAGTAATTTGTGTGTTTTTCTTTCAAGTACAAGTAAAAAGGTGAAAAATGTTAAAAGGTGTGAAAAATGATCAAATTTAGAGCAAAAAATGTGAAAATTGTGCTAAAGTGTTTTGGCGCCTAAGCGCCGATGAAATAGAGAAGGCCGCGCCAAAGCGCCAGAGGCCCCGCACTTAAGCGTCAGAGGCAGTTATGTGACTCTTTACTTCATTTTTACCAGGTTAACTTCATTTTACTGAATTTTGAAGGGACATTTGAGGCACCTATTGGCAAAAGAGGGAGGTTATGATTACTAGAAACGAAAATATTATTAAAAGACTTGTGAATGGAGGCATCCTTTGGAGAATACATTGAATTAGGATACATTTTGAAGAGTTATCAAGAAACCTCTTGGAGATTTATAAAAGAAGGAAGTTTAGACTTTTTGAGGTGTGCAGAGAAGTGCTTGAAGTCCTGAAAAGTGCTTAAAAAAGGAGAGATTTTTAGGCTAAAAAAATTTACTTTATCCTTTTTGTTTTTAGTTTTATTTTGAGAGTTAAGAATGTTGTAAAAGTAAAGATATTCAAAGGAAATTCAAGAGTTTGGTGAAGGATTTAAGATAATTTTTTATCTTTTGTTTTTAAAATACTTTTGGTTTTAATCGAGACTTCTTGTTGGTTTGACAATGATTTCTATTTTTA